GCTAACGTGCGTCACACAGACGACGATGAGGCTGGAGAAAGTAGATTTTGTTTGAGTAAATCTTCCCCCAAATTATAGGTCGTGAATGTCGATTCTGTTACTAAAGATGGTATAAAAGATAGGCGGAAACACCGTGAGGTCACATATTGGCTAATTAAATCTCAGACTCAAAACTAGTGACCAAGCCCATAAAATCATCAGGAAAATATTTACGGGGGTTTAAATAAAAATAATGAAAGCAATTCCACACTGGCTTCATTTGTCAGATCCCAAAGCTACGTCTGTGTCACACCATCTAGGACTCCGAGTAATTCACACGATGGTGATATTTTTTGCTAATGTGTGTCCACAGTTGGACAAATGCAGAGATTTTTTTCATTTTATTATTAGGCATCCCCACCCCTTTGATATGAGGCATAAAGCAAGCAGCAGACAATTTCCACAAAAATCGGCCTGCATTAGCAGAATGCAAGGACATGCATCAGGTTTTAATTAAATTCAGACTCATTTACTGGTAAATTGAGTGGTACTTAGAGTTAAGCACTTAAAGCACGCGGTTTTATCTACGCCCAAGTGTTCAAACATCCACTGACACGGATTCATAAGGGGCAACTCCAAGAAAAATTCAGCATGCAGAATGAAGGAGTCGGTGATTGATTGGCAGACAACCATCACAATAATATAATAATAATAATATTTGCAAAAACAAACTTATCGTGCATCAATTTATGCAGAAAAAATACTAAATACTAATTTTCGCTGAGGACCACCTCATGTGCAAACATCACAACATCACATTTCAGCTAAAACAAACAGGATCAGCCAAAGGAAAGTTAGGTCCAAGATAAAGAGCGCTTAGCATCTCCATAATGATCTGAGATTTATCCGAAATGAATCCAAACTTGCCAATATAAGCCGTTTTATCATTTGGGGAATTTCCGAGTCCAGGAGCATTGGGATTACTCATTTTGCTGCTTGTTTGAAACACTTTCTGTGCAAAACACACCACACGTCATGCTTGGCCGAACAGCCAAGTTTTTGTTGCTTTTACACTTTTCCTATGTCAGCGCCAGTCAGCACACAGTGGAAAATTATAATATATGTACTTAAAAAATAAATAAAGTAACACTTTTAAGACTGTAAAAGGAGAGATTATGATGATTTTGACCTGGACTTGAATGCTTTAGTGCAAAACTGACATTTTGGTGTCCGGAGAACACATTTTGGTCAAAGTTGAAAGCTTTAGTGATTGCTGATATCAGTCCATGACAGTGCGAGAAAAAGCCAGGGGACATTAGAGGTATTAGAAATTGCCGTCCGAGATAACATGACTTCAAAGAAAAGAAGGGTGGAGGTCTTTGATGGGTGGTAGTGAGAGAGAGAAAACAGGGGCGAGGTGGACGGAGGGCTGAGGAGCAGAGAGTGGAGCACAAGGATGATTGATGAGGTGGGGAGGGGAGGCGGAGAGCT